GACACCAATAGGCGATAACATGAGAGAGAGTAGATTTAGGTGGGCTGGCCATGTGTGGCGCCAACCAAGTGCAACACCTGTTAGGAGTTGCGAATTAGTTCAAGTGGAAGGACTGAAAAGGGCAAGGGGTAGGGCCAAAATGATATGGTTGGAAGTAGTCCGAAAAGACATGGGGACTTATTACCTTACTGAGTCTACAACATTTAATAGAGTAGAATGGAGAACCAAGATTCATGCAACCAACTCCAATTAATTGGAAAAATGCTAAAGTGATGATGATGATACCTTATGACTATGAGCTTCTTTTATTTTCCAATAATATTGAAGATGTTGTCAATATTGTGACAACATGAACACCTAGCGCGTGCTTAAAGACACATGATTGCCATCATATACCTTATGATTACAGGTATGGGTCGGGTCCGGTTAGACCCAGACTCAAACCCAGACCCGAATAGTATTCAGGTCCAAAAATTAGACTCATATCCAGACCTGAGGTCGGGTATATCCATTAGGTCCCAAGTATAATCGAGTCCATTGCCACCCCTACATTTTTCAAACTCTAAACAATTAAGGGTGTTTTTGTAATTTAGATTGAGTCATTTAAGTAACTCAATCATTGATAGTCCCAAGCCTGGATTAGAAAGGAGGAGGATTGTGTTAGGTTGAAGTCAATAAAAAAAACTTTTGCGATATCCCTGTCATTATCAGAGTGGGACATTTAAATTTGACAAATTATCAAAATGCACCTAATTTTTCAAGATTTCCAACTCAATATTCATGTGATAGATGGCGGATCACAATTAGGTTTTCATATCATCAAATTTGATTTATTTAATTAGTGTGACCATTTGATGATGGTAGATCATATCTAGGTTTTCAAATCCTCAAATTTGATTTCTCTTTTAAATTGTTCCTAACTTCATGCAGCGGACCCAGATGTCCTTGCTTACAATTTTGAAAAATCTCCTAGTAAAGCATTTTGTCTGCTATAGCACGTGTACAATTTACTCCCGTCGGAGCACACTGTGCCGGATCTTGCAATCTCCTTTTCTTTTTCAGTGGAACCATTGATGGTTGCCTTGGATGTAAGGCGATGGCGATACTTCTTAAGAGAATGCGGTTACGAGTTAGGTAAGCAACTAAGAAAGCAGTAACACCAATAGTCTCTATTAGTTTATAAAGTAAAGAACTACTAATAGCTGGTAAGCTATAATGACTAGTAATACAGGGATGATATGAGTTGTCAAATTTTCATCATGCGGTTCATAATGCATATTATTGTTTTAATGTTAATTATTTTTCTATAAATCGGATTATAATGAAATTTTAGACATGAGTACTACAAAATCAGGCGCACAAATAAAAAAAATATTTTTCAAAATATAAAATGATCAAAATACCCTTGAAAAATGATAGAGGTAGTTTGGTCATTTTAAATTATTGAAATAATTTTTTTATATTTTATATGGTACACAATAGTGTTAGGTATATATAATCAAAATTTCATATTAATCAGATTTATATAAAAAAATTAAAATTAAAATAGTGATATACATTCTGAATCGCATGATGAAGATCTGACGGCTCCCATTCCATCTATATACTATTTATTATAGCTGACCATATGTTGTAAGGTTTACCCATTTGTAAAATGTCAAATGGGGTGTTTTGCTTTTAAAAATGACACTTCTGCCCTTTTTAAGAATAGAATTACAATAAAAAATGACACTTGCAATACATTAATATTTTACTATATTTTTTATTTAATTTTGAAATATCCATTAGAAAAAGAAATAGTCTTGAGTTGGAATAGCTGCAATTAGGAAAAATGTATATTTGGGTGTTTTAAAGGCTGTGGTTTGCATAAGGTTGCAACCTTAAATGATCAAATTAAGGTGTGTCTCTATATTTTTTTTATGAAATGTACTTTTGGAATTAAAATTTTTTAAGATGGTACGAGAATCAATTTTTATCTCCAATTAAAAAAATTTAAACTCCAAAAATGATTCAAATCATGCAGATCTATAAAAGCTTGATATACTATTTTGAAAATGGTCGGTCTAGATAATCCGTTGCAAGATATACTATTTTTAGAATTTTATATTTCTTTTTTTCTCTATATCTATACACCTCAATATCAAGATGATCAAGTAGATGTTTTTCCAACATCAAAGCTGTGAAGAGTCTCAAGTTTCTCTGAAGAGACTCAGTGTACAAGGTATTATACCTACCATTCTCATATATACTTATTACAGTATACTCCTTCCATATTAACCTGATATACAATCTCTACTTTCGTTTCACACTCCTCTATTTCTTAAAGAAGTCATCAAGTCCTACAGAGAAGAGATGTATGGTAGAGAGATTGTCCCAGCTAAATATTTATGTCGAACAAAATGATAATTTACTTCAATATGCTTGGTGTGCTCATGAAATTCTAGATTCTTAGCAATATAAATGGCACTTATATTATCATAATATAAGGGAGTAGAAATACAAGGGGTCCACACCCAAATTAGCTAATAATCAACGAAGCAAGCCAGTCTCTGTGGTTGTTTTGATTTCAACAAGGTGGTATTTCAGGGGTAGTTTAATGGGATGGTATTTGTAGGGTGGTATTATCGGCTGGTATTATAAGTGGCATTCAAATGCTGATTTCAGAAGAGCGATATTTCAGTACTAGCTCTGATACCAATGTGAAGTGTCTTAGATTTATCTGAAGAGAATCAGTGTCCATTAATTGTATGAATATACAAAGTTGTCTTATAAAGACAAATTACATATGACAATAATATAAATAAATCACAGATTTCTATATTATACTCAGACTTACTATAAAATACGATATATTGTACCTACCATTCCCATATATATTGATTGCAATATCACCTTCTGCATTAATTTGATATGCAATATATACTTTTCTTTCACAAAAACAGCATTTTTCAAAGGATTTTAAAGGTTCCAATAAAATCCTACATCTACTATCTAATAATGATCTTTGGACCACATATTTTGGAGATACAACCTCTTGACCTCAATAAAAAATAAAATTTGAAATGTTTACAAAAAAAAAAAAACACATCCTGAAATTAAGCAAAGATTGTCTAATTTTCAGGTAGCCATATCTAAAAGGTAACTCAAAATCTTAGTTTGTTGTTTTGAAAATACTTATATGTTGATTTTAAAGTAGGTCTCTAATTCTTCTCTCTTTGAAAGAAAAAACTTCCAAGGAGATGTTTTAGGAATAGTTTTTTGTTTCAAAGGTTTCTATACTTCCCCTACAGCATGGCAGATCTAAGTTTTCCTTAGCCATCTGATTTTGATCAAGAGAGCCATTTACTGTTTGATCTTAGATCCAACGTCTCTAAGTATTTTATTTTTATTTTTTTTATACAAATTGTATGAATATGAAATTTGGTACATGTCATATTCTCATTGGGGAGCACCTATAAAAAATATTAAATTTTTTTTTCGATAAAATATAATGACCAAAATACCCTTTGAAATTTTTAGGGGGTATTTTGGTCATTTTATTTTTTTGAAAATATTTCTTTTTTATATATTTTTCGCTAGTGCGAGTTTAATAGAGGATTGACGTCCAAAATTTGATGTCAAAATAGTTTATAGAAAAAATTAAAAATAAAATAGTGTAGAAAAAATTAAAAATAAAATAGTGTAGAAACGTGACACGGTTTCTATGAGTCCATGTAAAAATAAGTCGACTATGAAAAATCTATTTTTTAGATAGATTTTCAGACCCAATTTTTAAATACATGTTATATCAAACATGAAGATCATGAATATAACTAAATTTTAAGAAATAAAAAATAATAAATTTATGAAGAAAACATATGGACCGTTAGTTTCAATTGTTTTAGATGGACCGTTAGTTGACTCTTAAAAATCTACTTCTTCTTTTTTGGGGTAAATCAATGGGAATGATGAGACCCTACCCGTTTTAGAAATCATTAGTGGTTTTTTAATGCGTTATATAAGAATGGATGCCTAGACCTTAGTTGGGGCCAAGTGGTGCTACCACTACGATCTCAACCCCATTCTCACTTGAAGATGGATTCGTAGAAATGCCATCCCGCCCGCATGAAACAATTTTCGTAATTTGTGATAGTGGTATGATATCAAACTGCTTTAATTGAAATATTTGCCTCTTTTTATTTTTGGGGCTTAGTTAGCCATCACCTTTTCTAAGGCTATTGTTGACACGAAAACTATTTACTTTTAGCATAAAGAGGTCATAGATCGGAAGTCTATATTAAAACGAAAATTATTTCATGAGTCAGCAGCCGCAAGAGCACATTGACTTACAAATGTCCATCCTAAAGATGGACAATATTTAAAATGTATTGTTCATAAATAAAATTATATTTTTTTTAAATTAAAAATTATATATATTTAATTTTAAAAGTTTATTTTAATTTTCATATTTCATCTTGGCCTAGATGATGAACCTAAAATAATTTTTTTTTTTTTTAAAAAAAATCATCTAATATGAATTTTAGTGAGGGGATGTATATGTACATATGAGTTGGTTGACTCATAAAAACCCAACCATATTAGAAAAGAGATAAATGGAAGGACATGGTTTATATGAGTCCATATACAAATGAGTCACATTTTTTAGATGGATTTTTCGACTTTAATTTTTAAGTATATATCATCTCTAAAATGGAGATCATAAATATAAAGAAATAAATAAATTTTTTAAATAAAAAATATTAATTTATTAAAAAAATATTTAAATAATTAATTTTAATTATTTTTACATAAAACACCTATTTGCCTCCAGCATTAAGAGAGACGCTTCGTACCTTAAGACAGCATTACATAAAAAACGTGGTCCAGCACGCATGAAACAAAATGATCTTCACATTCATGAGAAGATGTTGGCTGTTTCTGCTATTTATCAAAGTTATTGGGGTATTTTAGTCCTTTTTCGAACTGGTTCAGCAAACCATCGCCAAACGCCACGCACCTCCGCATTTGGTTTCTGTGACATAAATGCCCTCTCACTCCCTCCCTTACTTTCTCTCTCTTCTTTAGTAGTCCAACTTTCATGATTCATCTTCTCCGATTTTCTCTCTCTAAGAAGTAAAAACCCTGCACTTCTCTGTAGAGAGGCAAGGCCTGGTTTCACACATACCGGTTCGATCTTACCAAAGCTTTTTTTTAGAGAGAGAAAGGGCTTCGGTTTCGTCGCCGAGTTCAAATTTCTTTTACTTCGTGAATAACTAGAAAGGGACAAAAGCCCGGCGTTAACAACAAGAGAACCTCAAACTTCACCTATTTTTAATGGAACTTTAGGAGAAACCCTAATCACGAGACTGATTCGTTGCAGAGGTAAGCTTTCTGTGAAATGATGACTGATGGCTTCAGATTATTGGCAAAATACTATTTTCTTAGTTTTCTTTTGCCCTTTTTACATCAATATAGAGACTTTTGAGTAAATAATGTGATGTAAAATACTCTCATTTAGTTATTCTGTAACTTTCCTTCTAATTCAGCGACTACTCAGAGTAAATGCTTCAATCTCTTTCCAAAATGGTTCTTATTTCATGCTTCTGCTTGTATAGTGATGAAAGATAAATTCTTTAGATTTAAGACGTAGTAGATTGCATTTTATACATTTTTGAAGTGTTAAGTAATAGTACCAGATTTTGTTGTGTTTCAGGCTTTCATTTGCCGTTACTTCTGCAATTTCTTGCAACGAGTCTACAATGGCTGCTGCAACTGCTTCAGGGCTTCAAATTGCTAGGGTTAGGCCTTATGTCCCTTCTAGAGGTTTCAGCAAAGCCAGAGCAGGAGCTGCTCTTGTTGATTCCAAAAGAATAACTCACAGTGAGCTTAGAAGCTCGGAATTTGTCTCATCAGTGCGTCCATTTTATCAAAGCATCAGAACACAGGCTTCCCGATCAGTTAAAGCTGTGACGAAGGCTATGTCTGGCATGAGCGACAATGGAGCAGCTTCGGGTTTAAGCATTGATCTGAGAGGTACTGTCCTTTTTTTTTTATTGATAGTTTGCATTCTTTTTATGCATTTTCCCTCTTGATTTTTTGTAATATGATATTTACTGGATTTTATCTATTATGATGTTCTGTTTTATATGGTAATTAAATCTTCCCTTTCTCTTTTTTCTTCTAAAGGCAACAATACTTCTCTGCAATTCTTGTGTTATGGTAAAATTCATCATTCAATACCTCTCCATTTTTCTTGAAGAATGTTTTATTGGTAATTTTGCTTCTTCTGAATAATGCTCATTCTCTTTGTTGGTTTGTTGGGCAATATATGTGCTGTGAGCTACTGATAAACCATTTATAGCTCTAAGTATCATGTATAAGGGGTGGGATTCCGTGGAAATCATTTAGGTCAACATAGTTTGGGGAATTTTATGATGGCATTTGAGAATGACAAAGAATGGTCAGAGGAAGTGGTCTAAGAATGTTTTGGAGGTTATAGCGAGATGATTACAAAGGTATTGGAAACTTGGGATTAGTTATTGGTCCTTGCTTTGATTGTGGACAATAACGCGATGTGCATTATTAGGTTACATGTCAACAATGCAATGTTCTCGTAGTTAGGCATTTGGAAGGCAAGGAAATAAGCCACCCTCGTTAGTTTCGCGTTGAATGAGCTATCAATTACCGAATGAATGGGATATGTTTTTCCTTTTGGCTGACGATTTAGTTTCTAGATTAGGTTCTATTTAGAGTTTGGGAGTCAAGGTATTTGTGGTCATATTAGATGTTCATAGAGATTCACAAATAATTTTTGCATCACCTTGAAGAGCATTAATTCTGTACGCAAATGTTGATTGATGGCAATCCTCTTTATTATTATTTCTCTAAAAAATTATATTGTTATGTGAATGGAATTAATTTGTATTTGAATATAACCAGTTGTTTTTTATTGGTTAATAATTCCGGATAAGATCCTTGATTCATTCACTCTATCATGTTTTCCGTTGTTTTATCAATAGATTCACATATTTCACAAAATTTAATGTTAGTCCAGTTTGCTCTAAGACAACAGCTATGATAGTGATCCTTGATGCATCCACATCTATTCTTGAGTGGAGTACTCATGGTGCTTGGTAGTGGGGCTGGTAAAGGATTTGAGGATATGAGATGATAGATGGCAGAAGAAAGGGATTGTACTAAGGGTTTGAGGGGTGTGGTCATCGGCGATTTCTAATATTAGGGTTATCGACTTCTCATTTGTCATTAGGCTTAGAGCTGGACTCGTTGTTTTTAAAGGGATAGTGGGTGTAGAGATTGGCCTTCTTCACAGAGATTCTAATCACTCTTTAGTTGGCCCAGTGACCATGGCTCTTCATTGAGCTAATGTATTCATCTTGTGGTCTCTGGAACACTTTTGGATTTGGCTGCTTCTGTGGATTGTTGAGTAGAGGAGGAACTCTTGATACATTGCTTGAGAGTGTTTATAGTCATGGACTCAAGGTAGTCTTACATCTGAATGCTTGGTTCAGATGTCAAAACTTTTGGTATGTATTTATTCAATGCAACATCATTCCTCAAAGGACTGGATATGTGGGATTTTTGCTAGTGTCCTAAGGGACTATCTGATCTTTGCTCAGCATCAATTTTCTTGAAATTAATAAATTACTATATAAATATATTTACAAAATTATCCCACAAGGGGTGGGATGAGGCACCCACAGGTTGGGCACACAAAACAGTGTAATCAGTGTCAGGGACTGGACCGAGTTGACTCAGTCTCGGCCTAGTTTGTCGAACTTGGCTTCTTGGCAAGCCCAATACTCGGATAAAACACCAGGTTATAACAAAAGAAATGATAAAAATCATGTTAAATTGTAATATCAATGTATAAATATTTTAGATGTAGTTTTAATTTTTTTTTTATGATGATTTGTGAGTTTTTCTTGATGTATGCCCTATTTTTTAATTTTCCTCCTTTTTTAAATTTTTTGAAATGTCACTAGCCATAAATCAAATTTTTAAATCCATAATTTATATTTTTTCCATCTTATTTGGAAGTCTAATATTATTTTTAGTTTCCCTTATTTTTACTATTTTTATTTTAATCATTTTTTATTTTTTAGGTGTTTTTTGTCTTGTATGCTTACTTTGGCAAGTCCACTAAGACTTGCTTGAGTTACTCTGCTCGGGCGGTGCCTGTGTTTAATCCGAGGTCTCGAACATTGGTACAAAATGTATGTATTTCAGATATTCAAAAAGACAAAAAGGCCTATTTTGGGCAGAAAATGTAGGGCCTGTACTTGGACCAGTGTACAATTAAAACATACAGAAAGAAAATAGAGGAAAAGGAGATATGAAGAGAAAGGAGGTAGAGAAACAAAAAAGTGTGCGTGTGGGGAGAGAGAGAGAGAGAGAGAGAGAGAGAGAGAGAGAGAGAGAGAGAGAGAGAGTAGGAAGAAAGAAAGTAAGTATATATAGATAGAGAAGAAGAAGAGAGAGATAGAAGTAAGAAGAACGAACGTAAAGAAACGAAAACGAAA